AAGTAACTCACCGAATACCACGGGACGACTACGACGTCAGTTATACGGGCAAGTATAACCGGGCTAGTTATGCCATCGGAATATAGTAATTTAGCTAGATATAAGTTGATTAACCTTTCTGAGTTCAGTAGCATAGAAAAACTCAGCTACCAAAACGCATACACTTGCATTTAATCACACAATAGGATAGTATAGGGTAGAAGTATCAAAAAGTAATTTAGTTAGATGAAGAGATTAACATCAGGACAACAAAATTCAGCGAAGAGTCTCTTGTCGGAGAATTCATTCACTTAGCTGCACAATCTCATTTATACATCATTATTTTGAGTGTGTATGTACATTAGGATTGTCGAACGAAAATAAGATAAACATTGACTGAATGACCTGATTCAACATTGAACATTACACAGATGAGCAGCAGTTCGACACGCTACACTTCAGTCAGCACACAAAACCAAAGAAGAAAGTAAAAAAAAATGCAAAATAGACACACTAAACATATATATGAGGCAAAAAGAATCGTAATATGGAAGAATAAATACAACTGCATTTGCTATTATAAATCACATAGTGAATGCATTTCTGCCAGCCATTGAGAACGATTTTCAGCAATATCACTAATTATCTCTAGCCTTCATTGGATCTTTCTTAACATCCTGACGACCCCAACCAGGAGACCATTATGCACATGCCTACATGACTTGCTGGCTTAAAGTAAGTGTTGTGGATTTCATTGACTGATGAAGTCATGTTTTGGTTTGACTACCCACTAGGTCCTTTCCAACCTGGTCTACTTCATGTCAGCTAACATTGTCCGTCGAGGAAGGCGGTGGCTAGACATGCATGCGTAACACATGTCCTAACCATCTGAATAGGTGTAACTTCATAGCACCGTTGATTGATTTCCCCTCCTTACCCAGTACTCTACGCCTAACCTCAATAGTGCTCCCCTTATTACGCCTACCATCTAATACGGGAGATAGAACGCACGCATCTATGATCAAATACAGCTAGCGTGGCGCAGTGGTTAGGACTCTCGCTGACCATGCACATGGTCCGGGGTTCGATCCCCTACCGGCGCACACCCGATATCTATGGTCGGCCTGAAATTTGGGCTACCGATATCCATGCTGAAAATTCCATACTTGTACTGAAAATACGGTGTGGAATCAAGCTGTAATCAAAATATAAAATAATAATTCCCACGTCTTCTGCTTTCAATGGCTATGTCTCACCAATAGCCATAAAGAAGGACGGAGCGAACTGCTGTGCTGAGCAGTACGCAAGTCCTTTGGTCGACAGCCAGCCGGATATCACGCCTACTAAGCCACAGATGGCGTAAGTTGGCATATGCCACACGAGCCTTCTATATCCGTGTTGAGATTTCGTCAGCGATCAGTCCGTTGTGGTTGATACAACTTCTCAAATACGTGAAGTGGTCAACACACCCTACCACTTCATATATTTAAGCAAGGAGTCAATGTATTCCAGTCCTGGGGCATTATCCTGCATTTGACAGGAGCGAACCGCATGCCAAACATTCGAAGATTGCTGCTGAAGTTATTCAGAAGACAGCATTTTGTCAACGTCTTCGTGTAGAAGGACTATATCATCTACATATTCTAATTCAATGAGATTATACCCTGGTAACCAATTAATCCCTGAGTCGCCGAAGTCAGTTAGGTCTAAGTCCATTAGTATGTCTATGGCAAAATCAAAAGGAATGGAGACAGTAGGCATCCCTGACGGACACCGCTGCTTGTCATCATTTCAGATGACAGCTCTCAGTAGGCTCTCACCTGGCTGCATGAGTGCGACTAAAGTGCCTCGACATTCCCTTCGCCGTAGTACTTCTCGGTCGACGAAATTGAATACCGCCTTTAGGTCAAGAAATATGACGATTGTTGGACGCCGGTAAGTATGCCTATGTTTCAGAATCTGTCGAAGGGTGGAGATATGATCAATATACCCTCTTCCTGGTCTAAAGCCTGCCTGGTTCTCTCCTGTTTGTTCCTTCCGAGTACCATTTAGTCTTTGCATGATCATTGGGCCTAGAACTTTAGATACCATATTGGTAGAAAACTAACCCCCCTGTGATTATCACAGGAAGACTTGTCTCTCTTCTTGTATTTCGGGATAATCAATCACTTACACCAACCCAATGGGACTATGTTTACTTGAAGTCTTGTCTTCGCTGACTGCTTCTTCTGTTAACTTGTTGGATATACATATGACCTTTGATAAAATTACAGATATCAGTATTTGAACTCAGACATTCATCACAAACAACCAAACGACTATACATCTTTACTGAATGTACTATCTATTTTCTTTCAGTATTATGAAGAGAAACCATATTTCACAATTCTTTTTTCATTCCTTTGCGTCCCGGTAGCGTTCTCTTTTTTATGGTATGGGTATTGCTGCTGGCCTCACACTTAACATTCCCTCCTTCCCGCGTTTACCATCAGCTAGTAAACTAAATGAGGTTTGCCAGTCAGGAATCGAACCCTGGACCACGTTCGTGTTTTGTGAGCATTCTGTCTCAAGACCGTTTAATCACAGGCAATTCTACTACGATGTTATTCATGTTAAGTAACTGTTACTGCTCTATACTCATTCCAGTACTAAAAATCCTCTAAAGAGATGCGAAAAATTAATGAAGGAACAATTAGAATTTCACAGAAATCGCCAAATCAAAATTCTAATTAGAATGTAGAAGTGAGATAAAAGATGACGTTAGCGATGCAGTTAACCTGCCCAAACATCTAATTCCCTAGTTGTTGGTGTTGTCTTCAACTTTGTTCTAAAGTAGCTTCAGCTCAGATTGCTTGACGTAGAATAAATAAATCTAACCTTCAATTTTAAACTGGCAATTATTCGATGAATAACCATATACCTGGAAGTTAATCAATACTCATTAGAGGTTTCTATCAATGACAGTAATATCAGTGTCATGAAAATGTACAAAACGATTCAAAGACGAGCGTATAATTATCAGAGGATTACTTAGTAAAAATGGTTATCCAGATACTTTCATTGACAAAAATATGAATTTAGCACCAGAATAAGCCAGTAGGACAAAATCTCCGAAGAAAAACATTTTCGTCAAACTGTAGTTCCTCGACGAGAAATTCAGAGAAATGGTAACACAATGTCTGAAGAATGCAGTTAGAAGAGTTTTCAGTGCAGCAGTGTGTGGTGATTGACAATTTCTATCTCTGTATTGTTTAAATACATACTGTTGTTTGTTAATATATATTTATTATATGAATTGAAATATAATTCCGCCAAATACAAATTTCTAAATTCATCCTTCTCCGTGTTTTCGGTTGAATTCCTGTAATTCGGTCATTGCGAAATACAACTACTAATATTACAAATAATTATAACACAGTGGTACGTTGTCTCTTCACTGCTGCTCCGATTTTACGTTCGAGAAACAAGGACAAACTACCTAATTTCGCCTCTACCAAATTGATAGCGATTGCAAAGCCAGCCACATTGGGTGTACAATTAGACAGGTCCATTGTATTTCCCAGCATCATCCGGCATGGTTAAGCAAGGGACAAATAAGATCCATTCGTAGCTCTGTCTTAACACACCTAGTCGAGAATGAGCATAAAAGTGGTGTTAGTACAGCATTTAAAGTTGTTTATCGCATTCCAACTAGTCTTAAGTTTTGTTGATATAAGAATAAAACTTGGGCACTGTGGTAGAGTGTAATTCCATTATGGGTGAATGTTATTTTGATAGAGTCTCACAGTGTTATACAGTAATATTTACTGATGACGTTTCGAGCACAATTTATTGCTCATAATCATATCAAGTTAATCCCACGACTTCCTAAATTCATTTATATAGTTCCATTGTTTTCCACTTGATTTTCACTCGATTTGATTGGTAGTATTATTTTCCATATCTGCTTAAGTTTTGCTTTACAAGTTCGTCTTCTAAATACAACTGAGGCTATCGGAATCCACCTGATAAGCCACATCTGTGTTCAGAAGAAATCCGTACAGCCACTTTCCTTATATTGGCCATTGTTAGTTAGATGAATGTTAAAACCTAACTATTTCGCCCTCCTCATAAGCCTATTAAAATTATAAAATTCTGACTCCATCTTTGATCGCCTATTACGTAATCAGCACACACACACCTGTCCATTCCGTAATTACTCATTTTCCTAACATTATGCAACTTGCAATTTTTTATTTTTTATTACAGCTTGATGCCACACCGTATTTTCAGTACAAGTATGGCATTTTCAGCATGGATATCGGTAGCCCAAATTTTGCAGGCCGACCATAGATATCAGGTGTGCGTCGGCAGGAGATCGAACCCCGGACCATGTTGATGGTCCGCGAGAGTCCTAACCACTGTGTCACCGATGCAATGCACTTGTTGTAACCTTTTCTACTCTTGGTCTGCATTAATTTTATTGGTGAATTACCACTCCCTTAACATGCTGACATTGACTAATTCCTGTTAACAAATATATCGCTACTACATGAAGTTGATGAAGTTTTTTCTGCATTCTGTTAAGAGAGTAGAGCGAGAGATGAGGATCTAATTGAGAAATATTTCTTCGCTCAATCCTTATTATACTCACAAGCCACTCTTAGCTACACAAATCGGAGGTGAGAGATCTGGAAGACGATGGTGTTCAGGATAACAAAGAAAACTTTATTGTCAGTCAAGTCACAGGAAGCAAGATCACCAGTGACTAACGTCTGCTTTCCGATAACTTTGTCCATGTCACATCATCCAACTGATGATGACCACAAAACTGTCGAATGTCTATATGACTAGAAAATAAACACCCAAGCAAATTGATGGATGTATGTAGGTAACGTGTATGGGACAACCTCCACAAATTATTGACACGTTTAATTCGTCAAAATACACAAACTCATGTATCCAGTTATAAGTGGTTGAGTATGCTCTTCGTGTGATATTCTCAAAAGAATAAAATTAGCACAGCTGAATGGAAATTTCACGGTTGCTTCACTAATCACTACGTCAATATAATGTGACAAACATTATTTTCAAAATCATCAAACTCAGATTTCACAACATTTATTATACAGCCTTTGTTCACAAAAAGAAACTGGATACATGAAAATCAGATAAATTTCGAGAGCAAACATGCCAATGCCCGAGACAGTCCAAGGACAACTGTTCTCAATGCTGTAGTATATGGACACTTCAAAGTGACCAAAAGCGCAATGAATTTCATCAGTTAATGAAAAATGATCATTGTTAGCCGACAGTGGATGACTATTACAATTTATCTGCTAAGTCTGTTCATCCTAGATCTAGCAGCAATATCAGTGTCAACAATGACATAGGTGTTTTAGAATACTGTCGTCAAGTACACACATTGTTAAAAATATTCAAGATACCATGTCTTAAATCTGTTTTCCGCTCAAAAAAAACTTATGTACAGTACATGATAACAAAAACTGAAACCACCTGAAGACATATGCAGAAAAATACCTAAAAAACGTCTAATAAACCTGAAATACTGTGAACACAAATGACGGACATATTAATCGGTGAAAGAGTACAACTTATGAGTAATAAAAAAAGAAGAAAATATTAAAAGAATCCAACTGTGATGATGATTATAAGAGTCGGAAACATAGATTGGAGTTCAACTAAGCAATGAGTTAGTGACAATTCACAATAAAAGCACCACTTTCAAAATAACTAAAATGCAATAATCATATATGATCAAGAAATTAATTATTGTTAGACGGTGGACGACTGTTGGAATTCCCCGTTCCACATACACCACCTGAATTCTCTGTACCACTCGCTGCTCCCACAGACTGTTCAGGCTTATTCGCCATTTGAGGCGTAGCATAGCTTGCTCCAACATTACACTGAGGAGATTGGTGTGGATGTTGCGGCTGTTGTTGTTGTTGCTGCTGCTGCTGTTGTTGTTGTTGTGGTTGTTGTGATGGTGGGTAACTCGCCATCTGAGGTGGACCAGAATTAGGGTAACCTGACCACGGATTTCCACCAGGTTGATGTGAAGGAGGAGGAGGAGGCGGGTAGTGATGTTGCGGTGGCATTGAGTAAAATCCATTCGGCCCACCATGAGGGTAAGGCGGGACAGGTCCACCTAAAAGTAAATCAGACACCTCGTCAATAGAAATGCAACAAAATGAAAAATGCAACACACCACATTCACTTCTCCATCTAATGCATTTCTTGAATATGCATTTGCACACAATGCAAGTTTGTCAGTTAACAAACTTTAACTATCCACATCTGATGCAGAATTAAACTACATACTCATACTCGATGAAGTAGTGAAACTCCACAGATAACCACCAGTATATACCGTCAAATTATCATGATTTCCACGATACACTAATCACATAATAATAATAATAATAAAAACGCGAGAAACTAATCCTTAAGCGATAGTAATAAAACGATTACATTTACAATGGATATCTATGAAAGGTGAGCAGTGTGAGAAGATCAACACGAAACCTATCCCATGTGAGGTATAAAAGCAAAAGTGTAAAATACTTCTAACATACATTATGAAGAGGATTTACCAACAAAAGTTATTCATTCACAACCTAAGGGGCGAACCACCAGCAATGATCTCATGGTGATTACACACAAAATAATACAACCAGAAACAGTGCTGAAGTACACAAGTGTATAACACTGTTGCCTTACAATTATACCCTCTCGTTACTCAGTACAAAACTCATCTTACTCATGCATATTATGATCTAAATTCGCTTTAATATTGTGAAATACATATATACATCCTACTCATGTCAGTGCTTCATTGTGCTTCACTGATTGAAAATAAACTGACACCAACTCAAATAGACTTCCGTTAGTTGACTAACACTGATGCAGTGACTGACGACTAAACCTGGTGCTCATGGCAAGAATCGAGACAGTGACCATTGGCTGCCAGTCCAACGATCTACAAATTGAACTACCCAGCTCCTTTCGCAAACCATGTCATCATTCCACTAATAATCATCGTGAATGAGTGAAAAATAACTGTTGAGCACAATAGCTCCCCAATGCTATCTGCGTACAAAAGGACGTCATACACACACACACACACACACACACACAACAAATGACAAAGGATTACCTGGATAATAAATGTTGGCTCCCTGAGATTGGTTCGACGGCACCATTTGCACTTGACCCATCCCAGCATCCCCAGGAGGTCCAGATATACCAGAACATGGATGGACACCATCCACCGATGATAATACTTGCTGGTTTGCACCTCCCATACTCTCTGATTGAGAGCCAGGCGCCGCCGCGTAGTGAGACGGTTGTTGACCCTGAACATAGTCTGGAGGTACTTGATGTTGTGTAGGCCAATAACCAACCACAGAACTCGCCTGCTGCTGAGGTTGTTGTTGTTGCTGTTGCTGCTGGTACGGTGGTGGTGCTGGGATTGACTGGGATCCTCCACTCGATCCATCTTGTAGACTAACTGGCACAGCTGGGGGAACATTTTGGTGAGGATGGGCTTGTGGGTTCTGTTGGCCAACCAAATAATGAGGCACTGAAGAATATCCACCTGAATTCGGGCCAAAATTACGTGGCGGTTGCACCGGAGGATAACCAACATGACCACCACCACCGCCGACACCACTCGGAACCGGATAACGAGAAGGACCATAGTGTGCAGGGTATGGTGATGCACCTGCAGGATGCCAGTTGTTTGCATTATGTTGATGAGGAGGTGGTGGTGGGATGTGGCCAGAAGGATGTTGGTTAGGTCCTCCCACTGGCGGTCCAGGTTGTTGTGGGACATGCGGCTGTTGTGCCACATGCTGCACATACATCGGTGGTGGAGGTGGCTGCTCCGAAGATCCTTGTTGAGGCATATGGTGGTACTGCATAGCGTTGTAAGGAGTGTGTTGTGAGAATTGGACGCGTGCATGAGAATAACCACTGGGATTAGACATGGTAACAGGCGGATGATGTGGATAATAAGCACCACCAGGTAGAGGTGGGTTTGACGGATTCGACATGCTAATCTCGTACGTGTACGGTGCTTGTACTGGAGCACCAGACACCTGGGCTGAGCTGACAGCGTTTGAAGGGACATTAGTTGATTGGTACTGAGAAGCAACAACGTGTCTCGGCTGTCCTGCTAACCCTTGTTGAAACTCATTCGAATGTCCAGGAGTCACACTCGCCAAATCATTAGACTTCATCTGGTTAGGGTCTACAACAACACTTTCACCTGAATTAGAAGTCGGTCGTTCTCGCATTTCCTGACTCGTCGCTTCCTTACTCACATCACAATCAGGCTTCTTCTTCTTCGAAGATGTCGAAGAAGCTGAAGAAGCAGATGAAGTAGACGATCCAGATGATGCAACTTTCTTCGTACGGTTCAGGGGTGTTGTGGAGTTGGCTTTAGCCGCATTGTTTGGCGTTGCTTGTTGCATGCTTGGCAACGGACTACGCTGATGAACCAAACTGGTGGGATTTCCCGGTGGCACGGCACTAGGTATATAATGTGGTGGCGGTGGGTAGTGATGTTGCGTGTGACCAGACTGAGGAAACCTGGATACTGAATTCTGATTGGCAGGTTGTGTGAAAGCATTGCATATTCCAGGAGGGTACACTGCACCACTGCCGGCATGAACTAGCTCAGCAGCAGCTCCTTTCGCACTTACAGGATTTACTAGACTTGTTGAAGTGACCGGCAACTTCGGTGGTGTAGGCTGACAACTTGCATCTTCCCTTTTATCCTGGTACAAAATATTCAACAAAAACAGTTATGTCAAAAATCAAACCCAATACTGATAAGACTCATAAACACACCAGCATATCTTATATGAACTTCTGATCTACATTTGACCTATCATTCCGCAACATCACAGCACTAAATTAAAAACAGACAAGCATAAAAGGTAATATCTGTGAAAGTCATCTAGCACGTAAAACGTCCTTACAATTATAACCCATGTTAATATTAGTGTCACTTTATTTCGAGTTTAACATTAACACGGAGGGAATTCACCTGTTCACTTTTTCACACCTACACATTCCATTTGTACGTCGGTGGCACACTGGTACAGTGCTCGCCAACCACGCCTCATGTGGCCCGGGTTCGATCCACGGACACCAACGCACTCCTTTACCTCGCTTAGCCAGTAATAAAAAACTGGTAAAGAGGGAAGGTTGGGCATGAGGCTAGCAACCCCATCGTGTAAAAATAATCCCCACTGATACAAAAACTTCAAGCCTCTAGCTTGAAGCCCTATGTTCCACTCGGAACGTGAAGGAATAAGTTTTAAAAAATACCATTTCTTTGTCACAATGACCTTTGCTTTGACATATTGATTATTGGGTGATACAGGGCCACACACACCTACCAGTGAAGGAATAACTACTTCCTTCTGGAAAATACTAATACAAAATATCGAATGCACTGTTGAGGTGATAGGCAAAAGTCAGTCGGTATGACCCTATCACATATTTCGGTGTTTGCAATCACCACTATAAGGGAAAGATCATCAAAGATCAATGCATCCTATCTCAGATAATACAACTGTAACACGCATCAGTGATTTCCCAACTAACTAAACAGCAACAGAATTCGTAGAGATGTAGAGTGATGAACCAACTAAAGTCATGTGCATCAATACCAAGCATCGAACTACCTACACCATGTTGTGTTTCCACACACGGATTTATGTTGTCTGAAGATTCCGAAAGACATAATTTGTTTCAACAATCTGGAATCTAACTATTTGGTCATACTTGTTGCATACTTGTTGTTGAGACTAATCTTATGCTTCACTAAACAAAAACATATAGATGCAATAGACTAAAAGTAAAGACGTAGAAATGAAATGAAATGAAGAGGAATAATGACGAACGCCCTATGTACATGCAGCACATAACAACAAAAGGAACTAATAGGCCACCGACAGATCACTTGATGAAGCATGGTTTGAACTTTGAACAACATCATCAACTCAAACCGATCCAGTCCACCTCAGTAGACATCAGTGACATAACCATGACTTCTCTGTCACAACTAATTCAGCAGTTACAACCTATTCCGATTAAAACAATTTACACAACTCATCAGCAGACACGGCGTTTATGATACCAGCTACAGCAAGTAACGTCACATCAAGTTGCGTCAGTCATCCCACAAATACAACAGTAGCAACAGGGTAAACAACAAATGAATACACACCTGAACTATCAGCCTTTCCAGAGGACGGTCACTAAATTGAATATTTGGATCACCATGAACGACAGGTGGATGTGCTGGTCGCATATGAGCTTGCTGCAACTGCTGCTGCTGCTGTTGTTGGTGGTGCTGCAGTAACTGACGTCGGCGTTCTGACTCCAGCAATTCAGCCTCTCGCTGCTGTCGTTGCTGCTGACGTCGACGTCTCATCTCCAACTCCGCCAAATAACGAGACTTCCTATCCTCCTCCTCACGCTGTATATCCTGCTTCGCTTTAACTATCATATCAGCAAACTGAGACTCCGTGATAACTGGCCGTCCTGCTTTGATTTTGTCGTACTCTAGTCGAAAACGCTCAGACTCTTCACGGATACGTTGAACCTTAGCTTGGTGACGTGCTTCACACCCGTCAATCTCTTGACATAGGTTGCGTTTGTGATTTCTCAGTTGTTCCACTTGGAGACGTAACGTGTTCAATCTGCTCTGGGTTATCAATTGACCAGGATCAGGGAGTCTAGCATCGCTCAACACTTCTAGCATCAAACGGTGATTTCTTTGGAAACGAGCTGCAGCTACATGTTTTGCAGTGTACTGATCTTCAGTATCTACAGAGAAAACAAAAAAAAACTCAAGTTCGTCAACACGAAGAGAAATACTACAAACTGTCAAGTAAAGTAAAGTACATTCTACCACCCAGATTTCCCTTAGTAACTTACGTAATACTCACTGGTGCGTCCATTCTCATGGTTAAGTACTGTGGAATGTATTAAACTGGGACTTGAGCACTTCCTAACGAAATAAAACTAGAGGGAGCTAGTCAACTATTGCACCCATACACGACAACTCCAAACTCAACTAACAAAAAGAATCAAGAAACGTTTGGTTTTTGAAGAGCTTCAATTTGTCCCTATCACATGATAACAAAGACAACAAAGTGGTATGTACAGGGCAAAAGTACTCAGACTTGTACACATTCTCACATCCAAAACTCTCATCTACGATACAACATAATCAATGTGGTCTCGACGAATGGTTCAGTCGCTCGTTGGATATCAGGCACCACTGAGTTATACAACGAAATGTGTTCAAAGGTGTGTCAACTCGAAAAAATTACGCAAATACACTGTCACTAACATCACTGGTTAAGTATTCAACTAACTTGTACACACCACACACTGTACATGCTTTTCAATTTCTGATTACTGGGTATTATTAATATTAATTACTTAACCAGGAATGTTCACAAACTCAGTTGCCACTCATAATATTATTGAAAACAGAAAGTACCTTCTTCGTTATCTTCTAAGATGTAGGATTCCCGTAAGTCACCTTGAGGGACTTCATTACCACGATCTCTTGATCTCAAAATCGATTGTCTTCGTTCCTGGTCTTGTTCCTCCATGCTTTTCTCCGCTGAACAACAATGCAGATTATTATTATCACACTATCATCATCAACACTTGTTACCTCTCTCCTTTGCGAGCAACCAGGCTTGATAAGCCGGTGAAGTGTGGTACTGACGTAGCAACTCTGTATATTGTGTTTTCTCAGCATCGTACTCTTCCATGTACAACAGTTTTTCATCGTCAGGTAGTTCACGCCACATTTGACCAATAATTTTACCCACCTCCCACAATTTCAGATGCGGGTTCGAATTCTTCACTTGCTCCCACACCTTACGACTGTACCGCATATACGGCATCAACGGCTTCTCAGGTGGTTTAGGAGGCTTAGGTACGCGCATATCACTCTGGAAAAAATAAACTAACAGATAATTCTCGTACCTTTGAACTCATTCTGACTGACTGGAAATTATTTTGTGGTGATTGGAGGTAGTACGACTTTGAATCCTGCAAGAAGAAGAATGAGAATAAATAACATCATATCACATGTTACGCGCAAACATACTTCTTGAAATCAAACTCTCTGACTTAAACTTTGCTTTACGTCCACCAATAACGCAAAAACAATTCTGGTTGTACTGCTAGAGATGCATGGTTCCCACCATGAAAAATTAACTGGACAGGAGTGAAGATTCTAAAGAGTGAACTCATCCCTAGGAATTAGAACCGTAGGTTACGTATGAGTTCATCAACTGTAGTTGCTTAACAGAGTAGTAGTAAGTATTACCCACCACTGTCTGAGTGCACTATAAAGTATCATCCATTTTTTACTGGTTACATGTCGAAAATTGCAAGCATTCTTATGCCAGGATTGAATTGGTTAAGCCAATTACACAGCCTACGCTGACACACCTTGATAGCGAAACAGCAGACGCCAGAACGCCTCACTGAAGCGATATTAAAAGCTCCACATATTTGTAGGCGTACGTGTACCATTGCTTCCTGAGATGTTACACAAGTAGCCACCGAAAGCACCATTAATACACTAAGTGATTGGCAGTTAATTTGAGGCACGTAAAGAAACCAAGTAAAACCAGCGAAGCTTGGAATATTATTGAAATCGCCACCTTAGTAAGGTCACACACTTAGTACATTAAAGACTATTATTCTCATGTCTAACAACAATGCTACAAGTGTATTATGATAAGGCAGCAACATATCACTGGTAAACTTTGGACTTCGGCTCCTCTTCGATTTCAGAAGTAACTAAAGAGGATTCCATCTTGATTTGTTTACTAAGCAGTACTATACACTGGAGAAGTTATGGGGCTAGGATATGCTGTTATGAATAAAGTTGAGAAATTCACAGGAAACTTTAATCGCCAAATGAAACAATCTTTATGTGAGCCCAGATGGTTCAATTTACTGCCCAAAAATAGTAATCTCAGCAGGATATAGTGTTATAAAGTTGACAAAGCAGTGTATCCCATTAGACCCCTTGTCGATATTAGAAATGTCTCAACTCACGAAATGTCTAAATATTTAGCCAAGGTAATAGGCCCAATTAGAAGCAGTCACAAATCTAGACTTAGTCTTAGGAGCTGAAAGATAGCCTCAGCAACATAGGACTACGTGAAGAAAAAAGGATCAACTTCGAAATCAGTTTGCACACTCAAATACCAATAAACATGACTGAATAAGCAGTCTGAAAGGAACTCATTTATGACCAGGAACTCCAACTTAGAACAAAAGTACCACCAGAAGACATTATGTTAGGAGTACAGTTATTCCGGAATGCTCTTATATTTCAGTTTCAAAGAAAAATGTACTACCGAACTGAAGTTGTCATGGGACTACTAACATCTCCCAGCGAGACATTTATGGATAGGTGGGAAAAGTTAGTTATTGGGACGCCTACTCCCACTTATGGATGACACATTCGCAGTATTAAACATAATAGATATGAATGCATTGGTTGAACATAAGGGCAATGTTATCTAAAATCTAACTCACTTATGAGTCTGAAAGTCACAAAGCGGGCTTTCAACAGTAGATTACAGTAGTAAAGAAGCAAGATGAGAAATTGAAAACTTACAAAAAATGTAGAAGTTTAATCGATATTTGGATTTTGGTTTATCCCACTCGATGTCAGTAAAAATGGGACCAGTGAAATGCTTCAGTGATGGGACAAAACAGCCAAAAACCACAAGTAGTTACATATATGGAAGCTTCGCCACAGTTGTTAGCCTAACCTGGAGGAACATAGCGTTTCATAAGACTATAGGCAATGTAAACGCTAAATTTACACAGAAAGATAACGACAGAAGAGAATTTAAGATATGAGTGCAACCATACAACGAGGGAAGCTCTGAAACCTTAGTAAAGTACAGATAAGTAGCATTAAAAGTTCCGAATTGACTCCAGAAATTCTGCTTCAATCTGTGGAGTACACTAGATAAAATAATCCAGCGTGTTGTGCAATGGTTGAAACCAGTAGACTTGCATGCATTACATTACACCCTGGTGAGAGGGAAAATCTGAGAAAAAATGCAGCTATAACATTCAACGGAGTTGCATAAATTAAGCAATACGGCTATGTGGTGGTGTATTCAATACACAAATTAGGTTTACACACTATTAGAATGTCAAAGTTTTTGCACATGGTGATTGGAATAGAGGGAATCATAGTAGACTCAATACTAAAAAACTTTCTGCTCGAAATATTAGAAGACAGTGAAGTTATTATTCAATGTCCTAATATAAACTAGCTGTTCAACTGTTTATTCCGTTATATTCCAAAAACTGCCATAATAACGATTGAATAAGGGATTCTGATGAGTTCAAAAGAGGAGCAAACACTGCAGAAACATTGCCAAAACACCTACAATGCGGCTAATTTAGGACAAGCATAACACAGGCTAAGAGCCCACTTAGTGTCACAACTTAATCATTACGACTGCAGTGGTCGAAAACACGGTTCGAATAAATTTACAATTGATGTAGAAAAATTGTTCCAGCTAGCATTGCGGAATCTTTGGGCCACACTAAAGGCGCACTCAAGACACTTTGCGTAAGATTTAGAGTCCACTGCAGACAAATACCCCATTTTCCTCAGTGAATCCTACGATTCTGTCCCGAAATATCTGCAGCGGAATCGAAGAGAATTTCTAGATAAAATTTCAGGCCATGTAGTCAAAAACGAAAGTAGACTTAGCACATATTCGACCCGAATTATTCATAAATTTTAAGCTCTTTAAGGCCACTATCTCCCTCATCAGAGTTTTAAAAAATTCTAAAGAATTTCGAAATTGCGAGTCCCACTTAACATTAATAAAGACTAATCATAGTATCAAATTTACACATAACCACGAAAAAATCAACTGAATAATGAAAAGAAGTGAGCTAAAATTGATCGACAATCACAAAATCCAATAGTAACGCACTAAATAATAAATGAAACCGTCCCCTACCATTAAAAATCCAACCCCACCAAAACCAAATGGCACTATTCATTGGAGCATTAAAACAGATAACTAAGAGCTTCAAGGACGTCTACTAAATATTTCATTTGCAATGCTAACCTGTATGAATGCTTTTATGATACTTTTTATAGCACAATATTTGATTTTTTCAACTCAAAATCCAGAGTGTCACGGTATTCTATTGGAGAACGGTTGAATAGAAATGGCAAGAAACACTTGATCGAGTGTGTCCTCCTTTGGTTATTACGGAATTCCTCGTGGCAACTGATGAAGGATCGCAACATCGGATAGCAAAGGTCTGAATGCGCCACCACTTACTTCTTTTTCATGTTTAGACAATAACTTACCACAGTTGATTTACACATCAATAAACTGGACTTGAAACTTTCAGTTCAACGCCAAAAGGCTGTAGAAATGTTTATGGTTGTTCATTCCTTGCGTTCCGAGTGAAGAACTGAGATTCAGTGTGAAATCTGAAATTTCCTTTGTTCTCCTTCATCACTTTTAACTGGCTGAATAACTGCTCATAAGCTTTTACTTCCTTTCACGTGATCTCCATCCCATTCTCCAACGCTCGACTTGTCGCTCAACATTTTAGTCCTACTCCACAGTAACTCGTTTGCTGTCACTTCCGGTTTCTTCCAGCATATATTCAATCCATCTAAATTTTCCCCTTCATGTGTCCTCAGCTGAATCTCTGAATAAACATAGTTCCTTTTTACTCGTCTGTCGTCTGATCTTTAGTATCAAACAAAGGCGGTCATTTGTTGACAAGAGTCTGCCAACCCCTGGAAGTGCCTTAGGTTACGTGCATGCTTAACCTCTAAATAATGTGGGTGCACTCATTTTACATTAGTTTTAAAAACCCGCATTATGTTACTTGTGATGACTGGTGCAGATTTCTCTACTGATTCCGGAATAATGAACTTAGTCTTGTTTTCCCAATTCTGGTTGACTTTGACATTCTCATACGTAAGTTGATGCGGTGCCGCACAGGTCAGTAAATAGAGGAGACATCTCCCCTTAAATTTCTTCCAGTGACGGTGATTCATGCTTTTAGGATTTAGAAAGGCTTCTTCAGCACTCCTTCATCTTCTTGTTCACCTAAAGTTCTGTCTACAGTGCCTGCCCCACGAACTTCTTATTTTCCGTTCGTGTGCCTCCTACTTTATTCGAAATGGAATATAGATGTGCACAGTCTTCACAAAATACCCTTTAAACGTGAAGGTCACTCAGCTGAAGGCTGGCGACTAAAAAGCGCAGAAGGACGAGATTAGTAACTAATGATGAACTAGAACTACCTAGTGATTTGTAAGGTTTCTTTCCTCTGTTAAGCGGTATAGAATTATGTGTCTCTCTCGTTCTGTTGTCTTAGTAACTAATCTGATACCAACGTTGGTCACTAGACATCATCTAAAAAGTACAGATTTACTGGGGTTCTTTCTTAATTCCAGCGTTCACCTGCCTTCACATCCTTTACAGTCTGCTACATGACCCAGTCCGTCGCAGTCAGTAAAGATGTAGTTGTCATAGCCCCGTCTTCAGTTCAAAGGCTGCGGTGGAACTTCTATTGCGAGTTTCTTAGCACACTGTATCCCCATATAGCCGTGTAGTTATAAATGTTAATATTTGCCACATACAATGGTTGTTTCTAGGCTTTTAAAAATAGTCTGGAATTAAACTTACACAAATATTTTGGAGACATGAGCCCCATGAATCTACGAAGCAACTTAGAGGGACCTAAGACTCAGTGTCCCAACTAAACGCGATTTGATGAATGCACGTGGTTGACTATTAGCCAAACTTTACCTGGCTATCGATCAAAAGGACATGAGTACTGTGTGACAGTTTGCTCTCTTCTCCTTTATGGCTGTGAGACATGGCCACTGAATGTGGAAGATGTGAAGAGGCTAGCTTTGACCACAAATGTTTGTATCCTGGATAGAGTCTTCGAGATTCCAAGAACCAATCGCTAGACTTTTGGAGATATGGCTCAAAATCGTTCTCAATAGCGCAGATGAGTTCACTCTTTGCGATCTTCCATATTCATTAAACCCTAATGTTTTTCCATGCTATTACCCTTTCTTCCTCACATTTCTGTTTATTATAGTACTGTTGAAACCCCTTTATTCCGCCTTTCCGTACTTGAACTCCTGTAATTCTATGCAAAGTTCCATGTTGAAATTCAGTCAGACAGGTGTACTATAATTAGAAAGCAACTTGTAGCATAGATAACATTTGGACTATGATTTCTATTCAAATTCAGGAATAACAACAGGATTTCAGTGAAACAGTATTATAAGCTGGAGAAATTAAGGAACTAAAAGCCAGTATCATGTATCAAGTTAAGGAACCCTAAAGAAACCTTATACGTCAAGTGAAACCGCATCTATATGAGTCCTGATGGTTCAATTTAATAGCTAGAAATAACAACTCCAGTAGGATATATCCCGTTAGCCTTCTGGTTGATTTGAAATAAAGATCAAATTGCATATTGTGTAAACATTTAGCCATGGGAACATGTCCAAATAGAAAGTTACAAATCTAGACTTACTAATTCTGCTTCAGTAACAAAGTTAGGTGATGAAAATATGATTAGGTTCGATATCATCAGCTTATATAAACATACAAATAAACATGAATAGAAGTGTTTTGAGACGAACTCATTTCTGACCCAAAACTCCGACTTAGAACAAAAGTACCACCAGAAGACATCGCCTTAAGGATATAGTTATTGCTAAATACTCCAGCAATTAAGTTCCAGGGAAAAATGCACTAGTTAAACCAAGGGGCTTATCATGGGATTACCGATATGCGAAGTTGTGGTGGATATGTTTAAGGGAACGTCCATCCTCACCCTCAAAATATAGTACAGCTATATGTTATATATAAATATATGACATCCGCAGTATTAGAAACAGGAAAGAAATAGATTTTCTGAACGCAGAAGTAACCGTAGACTCATAAGTTAGAAAGTCACAAAGACAAGCCTCCAACGATAGACTGTCATAAAAAGGAAAAAGACGGGAAGCTAAGCACTTGTGTACGCAGGGAAGCTACACAATTAAGTGGATATTTAAATTTCAGTTCATTCCATCCGATGTCAATAAAAATAGGGCTAGTGAAATGTATCAGTGAAAGGACAAGGTAGTCAAACAGCACCAAATGCATGTAAGGAAAGCCTCCATACATTATTAGCCTGATTAACAGGTCATTTGTACAAATATGAATACGGCTAAGTTGAACGATATAGACATGAACACCAAATATACACAGAAGGTAGTGTTATTACACGTGATTCTTATTAAAATGTTATTCGAGCTCATAAACTGACTTAGAAACAAATTATGTCAGCTTAAGTGTCCTGTGGAGTCCATTACTCATAATTTGCAATGACAGAAGTCAAATACATTGGTGGAAGTGGTAGACAGTATTAAGCAGACTCAGCTATAAAAAACCCCGAAAGTGCAGCTGAAGCACTTGATGTAGTCACACCGTGCAGACAACACTGTCCTGTTGAGTGGTGTATTGAGTAAAAAAATTACTACAGCTTCACATGCTACCAGACTGTTACAGTCATGTTGATATATTAGTTGTATACAGGGAATTCTAGTGGAACATTAAATTCCAGAAATTAAAATAATAACGACTGGGTACATGATTTTAATGTGCTTAAAATTAGTGGACGTTGTAGATTATAAGCCATAGCACTTACTGCAGTTAATATAGAACAAGCACAATACATTTAGGGAACCTGCTTAATGTCATGACTCAATCATTACGTCTGCATTGCACGAGCAGACAATGAAAATATAAGCATTTCCTCATTGAAGTTAACTTAGGTGACCATAAACCAGTACACTTTAAAAAATTAGATCCAAATTATTTGTAAACCTTACGAGGTCGAAAATCGCTAACTTCCTCATTGTAAGTGAAGAAAGAATTATAGAAATTCCGAAACTCGAAGAGCCCATGCTAACAATAATGCTCGCATATTCTGAACCAACGCTTTCTTCTACAGTGAGTACATTCGAAAGTGCCTTGAAATTGCGGGCAAAACCAAGCATGATGCTGTTCTTCCACATTATTCGCACTAACGTAGCATTCTGTGCCTTTTTCAGCTGTACCCGCAGTAGCTCAGTGCCTATATAGGCACTGGTATTTTTTCAGAATTATTACAGCGCTCTGAATTTCGATTCAGCACTTAACTTATTGTTCAAGCGCCCAGAGCAGTTTTAAGTACGAAGCAAATACCTTCAGTACATACCAGGTTTTAAGCACACAAAATATTCATTTATGCCATAGCGTTACACAGCATTATTGATGCATAGTTCGGAATTACTTGAAACTATGTGAGCTTGAAACCGATATGGTCTAACGTTTGTATCAGGATTACAGACTAGCACGATAAAAATAATCGCCTAAAGGTCAGATTGCGGTCAAAATTGATGAAAACCACATAAATTAAGAACAATGAGCAAAGTGCATACCATTTGGAATTCAGCGCCACCAAAACGATGCGAAAATCTCTATCAGAGCATTAAAACAAGCAGCCGGGAACATCTTTTAAACATTGCATTGTCAAAGTTCTCCATTAAAAAGTCATTATTAACACCATGCTGGATTTTCTCAAAGGAAAATTCGGAGTGTAACAGGATCCCATTACAGATCCTTTGATGTTTTAATATTCATGTTCTTAATATTCCTTGCCACATGAAATCCCTGAATCTCTTTTGTATTGATGGTTTAAATTTCCGGAGGGTCGCGAGATGTTCGAGGGATTCAGGCAAGGTGGCATGCAGATCTAAGGAATTCGGGAGACTGAGCAGCTGTCAGTAGAATGTCTTTTATCCTAAAGTGAAGCAAATTGCTTAAAACACACACCTTAACTACACAGGGAGCAACTTAATGTTTTGTGACAATTGCTTGTCCTGTGTAACGTCAGATATCGACAAACAACCCTTTCTGACGGAAAAGCTGGATACAGGTGTGAATTACGCTGGTAACTTCATTAAAACTATGCGCTTCGTGCGTATCCTGCTATGTATGAGGTTTATTGGGAGCCATTCAAAATGTATGTACTACAGCACCTTAAACAGCATAATATCACCGCTTCACTATCTGAGAGGGCCACCGATTATTTGAAAAATGTTGAAGGAAGGACAATCAGGGAGGCCGTAGTTCTTCGAAACCGTTACTGTTGCCATTATTATTGTTTCAGTTATTGTTATAATTTTATACTCTGCACATTTTTAACATTATTCCTGCCGCAAATGTAGAAAAATTTCTGCAGTTAATTTTATTTTTATTCTGAGCAAACTGTCACGAATGATGAAACTTCCATCCTGTATTATAGGTACTGCTTTTGGAATAAGGCAGATTATAACTGTATGGTGTGAGGTTAGCCTTAGCTACAGCCAGCTAAGGGGTGGTTCAATCCACAATTCTCAAAAGCAACAAACAACCGAGCAGACGGGTCCTGTCAGTAGGTAATTACAGACTACATCGTGCATTAGAAAATAAAGATCCGGGTGTGTCCTCGCTTCTCTTCAAGTCCTAACAAGAAATCTACCATGAAGGAGTTACCAAAAATGGGGTCGTTTGAACAATGTCTGACAGTGTAAGAAAGCTTTGTCAAGGGAAAGTTTGAAGAAGAGTTATCATTTGTAGAAAAATACCTGAATGATAATGGTTGTCCGCAGAAGCTCATCGACAAACATGAATAACATACTTTAGAGGCTGGGGATATTTGTGGCGGCCTAAAAACATATCAAATTATATGTTCACGAAAAAAAGAAGGAATTCAACCTAAAAACCTTGAACCGCGCGGAAGGAACGAATCGTTCGCCATCTCTCCGGCTGCTCGCCCAGCACATCTGCTGACCAACGCTGCCTCGCACTGGTTGACACATCCCCGTCAAGAACTTTGCTCCTATCTGCTTTACTCTACGTGGGTCCTTCCAACGGTTGACAGCGCTAAGTTGTAGTGGAGAATCTGTATAATCAAGAGAAGGACAATTACATTCCTATAATTTCGTACGTCTATAATTTGTGTATTTTGTGACTGTTATAGTTTTCTTCAAATAACCTCAGTCCTATTTTTGTGTATATTAACTTAAGTGAACTGAATATTTTATATACACGTATTTGTTAGTACTTGTTCTGTCCTTTTAATTGCGTTTATATACTTACCTAGCTACTAGGTCCACTACACTTAATTGGTGAGCCCGTTTTTGGAACACGGATTGTTTTCCCGTATCTATATACTTATTTTTGCTATTTTGTACTTTCATTGCAAGTTTTTGTTGGTGGTCTCATATTTGTATTCCCCTTTGTATCAATATTCTCACACTTATAATGTCGTCACCAATACTCACCGCCATTGCAGACTTAGCGGCAAGGCTTGACAAGTTGGAAACACATAGATCTGATCGACGAGTCGAGAGGCGGAGTTCACAAGCACGGTCACAGTCACATAGAAGATCTCTCTTCCGGCAGCGGTCCCGAATGTCTTCTAGGGACAGTAATATATGTTGGTATCATAGGAAGTTTGGACGTCATGCCTTGAAATGTGTCAGACCGTGCATCTTTAGTGAAGAGAACCAGGCTCAGGGGAAACGTCTCAACCAGACAGTGATGGCGACAGCTGTTACTGGCAACCATTCAAGTCGCCTTTTCTACGTGAAGGACAAAACCACAGGCACATTATTCCTGGTAGACACAGGAGCCGAAGTTAGTGTAATACCTCCTTCACTCTCCAGGCGATCTTCTAGCACAGCTGCAAAACTCTCACTTCGAGCAGCTAACCAAACTAGCATACGGACTTACGGCGAACAATCACTTATTTTGGATCTTGGTTTACGTCGTCGATTTACATGGATATTCATAGTAGCTGACGTTAGTCATGCCATATTGGGTGCCGATTTTTTAAGCAATTTCAATCTGCTGGTTGATGTCAACAAGAAAAAGCTGATTGATAACTGCACCCAGCTTCAAGTCCACGGAATCATCTCAAACTACTCTGTTTATAACATATGCATCGAGAAGCCAGATGACTGCATGTTCTCTGCGTTACTGCATCGTTTCCCAAAAATTTTAAAGCCATCTTATAATATCGAAGATGTTCCTCATTCTGTCACGCATAAAACTGTCACAACTGGTCAACCCGTCAGAGCACGTCCTCGTCGACTACCACCTGACAAGTTAGCAGCAGCCAAAGCTGAATTCGAACACATGATGCAATTGGGCATCATCCGGCCATCCAACAGTCCCTGGTCCTCACCATTACATATGGTACCAAAAGCTGATCATGATTGGCGACCGTGTGGGGATTACCGACGTTTGAATAACGCCACTGTCCCAGATCGTTATCCCATTCCGCACTTGCATGATTTCTCTCTAACACTGCAAGGTAAAACTATTTTCTCCAAAGTGGATTTAGTCAGAGCTTATCACCAGATACCAGTCGCTCCTGAGGACATCGAGAAGACAGCTATTATAACACCTTTTGGCTTGTTTGAATTCCTACGAATGCCTTTCGGGCTGAAAAACGCTGCACAAACTTTTCAGCGCTTCATGGATCAAGTCACGCGGGGCCTTGACTTTGTATTCGTTTATATCGACGACGTACTAATTGCTAGCAAGTCGGAAGAGGAACATAAGACTCATCTTAGCACTTTGTTTCAGCGTTTCGAACAGTATGGTGTCGCTATAAATCCTAAGAAGTGCATTTTCGGTGCCTCTTCTATTCAATTTCTGGGACACTACATAACTGCCGAGGGAATCAGGCCTACTGAGGAAAAGATAGATACAATCAAAAACTTCCCCCAACCAGACTCTTTGAAGAAAGTCCGACAATTTTTGGGGATGTTTAATTTCTATCGACGTTTTATTCCTTCGTGTGCCTCTATCGTCCAGCCTTTAACCGATCTCCTTAAAAGTGATCCTAAAAAATTTCAATGGTCAGAGCAAGCACACGAATCTTTCTGCAACGCAAAAGACGCTTTATCTAAAGTCGCTATGTTGTCTCACATCAACCCCGACGCATCTCTTATCTTGTGTACAGATGCCTCCCAAGTAGCTGTGGGCGCGGTGTTACAGCAGAAGATTAATGGTGACGTTACCCCACTTGCTTTCTTTTCGAAGAGGTTAGAACCGGCTCAGACAAGATACAGTACTTTTGGGAGAGAATTGTTGGCTATATACCTAGCAGTCAAACACTTCAGTTACTTACTACAGGGTCGTCATTTCACTATTTTTACTGACCACAAACCTCTGTGCTATGCTTTCACCACTTCGCTGGATAAACACTCCCCAAGAGAAGCCAGACAGTTAGACTATATCTCCCAATTTTCAACTGACATACAATACATCAAAGGGGACGCAAACGTGGTAGCTGATTCTCTTTCAAGAGGTGATATACACCAGCTTGAAACTTCCGTAGACGTCAGTCTTGACCGGATGGCTCAGTTACAAAGAAACGACTCAGAACTTCGAAAGTGTCGCGAAAACTCTTCCTTACAGCTCAGGGACGTACCTATTCTCTTATCAGATGCCACTATAGTTTGTGATGTCTCTACCGGCACTAATCGTCCGTTTGTTCCTCTCCAATGCCGAAGAGCTTTATTTGACCACTTACATTCGCTCTCTCACCCTGGAGTACGTGCCACCGTCAGACTCATCAGCGAACGTTTCGTGTGGCCTAAAATGAACTCTGACATTCGGAGATGGGCACGAGAATGTCTCCAATGCCAACGCTCCAAAGTACATCGCCACACTATCACAACGCCAAAAATGTTCGATTTACCGGACAGGAGATTTCAGCACGTTCATATAGATATCGTAGGACCATTGCCAACGTCAAGAGGATATACACATATCCTGACAGCCATTGATAGATTTACTCGTTGGGCTATTGCATGCCCCCTGAACGATATATCGGCCGAAAATGTTGCTTTGGTTTTCCTCGACCGCTGGGTGTCAAATTACGGTGTACCAGCTACGATTACATCCGATCGAGGTGCTCAATTCCAATCGACGCTGTTTCGTGAACTGACGAGACTCCTGGGAGTTAAACATATCTCCACAACAGCCTACCATCCGGCAGCGAATGGTCTTGTGGAAAGATTTCACAGACAACTGAAAAGCTCCCTGATGGCACAGAATGATGCATCTAAATGGAGTGAATACTTACCTCTGATTTTACTTAGCATACGATCAACTGTTAAAGAGGACCTTGGTTGTACACCCGCACAACTAGTTTACGGCACTACTTTAACACTGCCAGGACAGCTAGTAGCCTCTCATGACTCTCAAAATGTGAATATTTCTGAGTTTTCTGATCAACTGACCAGACGAATGTCACAGCTTCAACCAATAGCTCCGAGACAATGTCCCCGCAGAGAAAACCTAAGTAGCCATCTACAAACCTGTAAATTTGTCTTTATACGGATTGACAACGTCAGGAAAGGGCTACAACCTCCATATGAAGGCCCATACCCAGTAGTGC